AAGGCAGTGAGCAGGCACACTGAGAGATTTCCTTAGTTGCCTTGCTCTACAGCTGTCCTTTCTGTTCTTTTTGCCCCTAGATGCCGGTAGATGGGGGCTAGGCTCGAGACCGCGGACTTGAGCTGAAAAGCGTGAAGAAAAAAAAAGCTCAGTCCGAGCTCGACAGCAGCAGGAGGTGCCGCCTGGTCGTGTTTGGGCTTGAGGTTGGCGGCCCTGGGACGCCGAAGCCGCCTCCTTCCTCCGCCTGTTCGCACGCGCCCGTGCCTTTGCCACGCCGTCTGCACGAACTCCTCGCCGACGCCCGTTAGACCAGGGCCTCAGCCGAGCCGCGTCCCGGGCCGCCTGTAGCGGCATAGTAGGATGTAGGGGTGCCGATTGCGGTTGGCGGGCGGAAAAAGGTCCGCGAAGAAAGAAAAAAGAAAACAAAAGGAAAAAGGCACGTGCAATGAAAAACAGGGGCGAAAGTTTGCGGCCTTGCACCACGCCGACATGTGAGGAAATGAGGAAAAGCTTCTGCTCCTGGCTCCGCATTTGGCCACACTCCTAGACGTGGTGCGCAGCAGTTCATAAGCCAAGCACCATGAGCCCGGACGGAGGCCCCAACTCAAGCCGCATGCTTAAATCGGCCGCAGCAACAACAACAAGACACTCTCGGCGTCCTTCTTGAGACTTCCCAGTGTGGCGCTTTAGGTCTGGTTCAGACTGAATGAACAGTGCTTCGGCCGTAGCAACCCTCAGGCCCTAGGGCATAGGAAGCCAGTGGCAAAGCCACGGACTCCAACGGCAGCAGAAAAAAGGTGCGGGGAAAAAAAAGGAGCAGTTCCTCTTGTAGACGTCCCTGCAAGTCTCGCTGGCATCGGAATTTGAGCGCCGCCTTTCGATGCAATGCTAGCTGCTGCCGGTATTCATGCTGAGCAGCTTGCTTCATCCGAAGAACTGCTGCAGGGTTGGTGCCGTGAGGCTTTATCTTGGAGAAACGAACCATGGCACGGAAAGCTTGCTCCCCGCTTTTGGGCTGTTCGAACCCGTGGCGAGCGAGACAGGGGCTTGAGCGTAACCAATCCAGCACCATAACCCACCATCGTCATAAGAACGCCCTAGAGAGCTTGTGGCACAAGCTCATTCCAAAATGCATTGGTTGCTCGCACCGACGAAATGAAATCACCAATCAAATCACGCATGCTGGTATTCTGCGGTGGCATTTTTGTCCATCCCCTGCCAAGCCGGGTTCGCCCACTGAGGCACAAAACACACCCTGGAACGCACCGAATCATCTTCGAATTCGAAAGCTACGGTGAACGATACTGCAGCGTCCGTGGCCCAAATTCCGAAGTAATCCTTTGCCAAGTCAAGGATCGGCACAATGCAGCGCCAAACGTCATAAGCTTTGGGCTCGGCCTTTTTTTGCGACGAGGTGAACCAAAACTCGAGAACATACACGTCTTCGGCCAGCACTCGTCCGACAGTCCTGGTGCAGTTCATGCTAAGCAGGTCCACCCCTCTCCATGCGGTCCTAGCAACATCGAGCGAAGTGACCGACACTGCCATCACCGCATTGCCCCGTGCAGTGGCACTGTGAGTGCCGGAAGAAATGAATGTTGGCTCAAGGCGAGCGATTGTGGCTCAAACCATTTTGGCTCTAGACAACTCAGTGCCGCCATCCTACTTGGCTCCAACAGGCGCGAAAACCCAACACGCGAAGAGCTTCGCCGGCTACTGCGCTTGGGGTGTGTTGCTCACCTTACCACAAATGTCAGAGATTTGTGCTGCCCGACATGTCGGGTCCCATGGCCGCTTCAGGCCGTGGACAGATTCACCACAGCCTGCCGAGAGCACGGTCACGGTGTCTGTGCGCCACAGCCAACATCAGGCAACTCTCGACTTTTGCGACTGGCCGGAGCCAGAACTACATGAGCTCCTCGCAAAGGCGCGCGGACCGTTTCCCTTACCGGCTGACTGCGCTGGAGTCCTCCGGTAAAGGTAGCGCCCCCGTGCGGTCGTAAAAAAAACCCGTGGAAAAAACCCGTGGAAAATACGGAACGTTCCAATCTTTCCAATGCTGAACAGAACAGAAGGTTGCAAGTATGAGGGTAGCTAATTCATATGCTGTTGCCGGCATGTAGTGTGTGACAAAATGCAAAAGTTCCCAGGCTGGAGCGAGCCCAATGTTGCGCATCTTGGTTCAGCATGAGTGCCAACAATTTGCTGCAGACATCTAGGTGAATGACCCAGCATGAAAGTCATCCTTGCCCGCGCGCTTGCCGCAGCTGACCGCCTCCTCAGAGCACAGCGCGGTGAAGGAGTTTTGCCTTCCGCCGCCGCTGCAGTCCTGGCGTGACAGCACCTCTGCGACTCCGGCTTTGATGCTCCGGACTGGTCTAGAGGCCCCATCCCCTTTTCTGACCACGGGATGACGTCACCGTACCCAGTGCCCTGTTTCTTTCCGCCTCCAGCTCCCGCTGTCGCTGGCGCCGCGCAGGTGTAGCTGTCACTGTCGCGGGCAGCTTGATGTGCCTGTCGCCGACGCGCGGCGCATTGAAGTCGTCGCGAACGTGTCGCCCCTGACGCGGCTCGGCGACACCCACTCCCGCGCCGATGCCCTTGCCGTTGCCACCCGCCGCAAATGACATCAGACGTATTCAGACGTACCCAGGTCTGGCCCGCGCCCGACGTTGCCGCCTGGTCGTTGTTGGCGTTGAGGTCGGTGGCCGGTCTGGCGCTGAGGCGGTGCAGCTCCAGCGCCTGCTCGCGAAGCACAACGCCACCGTTGTTGCCGCCTCCAGACCAGCCGCGATTCCGGGCTCCTCGCCGTCGTTACCCAGCCTTTTTGCTTGCAGAAGCCCTTTGCCACGGACCCGTGCCGGAACCGCATGAGGTCCTGGCTGATGCGCTTTGGACGAGCCCTGGCAGTGGTCTCTCGCCGTCGCGCCAGCCCCTGCTGTATAGACCGTAGGTGCCGACGCACAGCCGACGCAGACCTGTCTTGACTGTCGTAGAAAGGCGCGTGAGCAAAGAAGAAAGTCTGTTTTTGTTTTCTTGAGCTGCCACACAACCGCGTGGCAAAATCAGTTGATATCAGTTGTACACCACCTCGAACTAAACCAATTTGAACGCGAAGCCAATCGTGAATAATATGCTCCCAACCCACGGCAGCCGGCAGGGAACGTTCCCATGAACGCCGTCTTGACTCGGCACGCTTCGCTGCTGTTTTGGATGGGCTCCCGAGTTGGTGTTTTTTTAATACAGTTTGCGAATTAGCATCATCGCCCGTCTTGCGGCGTCAGTTCTAATTCTGCAGGAGACATGTCAAGCCAGTGGCTTTAGCACCAATATTTGCAAGCACGAATGTGATTCCAACCATGTGTGTGTAGTTTGACTGCGGTGGCAAGACCGATTGCAGAGACTCTGCCAACCACTTAGCCGCTTAACCACTACAGTGTGGGACTGAGCCGGGTCTAAACGGAACCTGGCAAGCCATGCACACGCAACCAAGGGTCCCAGACCTTGAGGCCACGGGACCCGCAGCAGCAACTGGGTTGATGTCTCAACGCCCAAGCCGCCACAATGGCCTCACTGCCGGGGTTGGCAAACGCCCCATGTTGACGAATTGATTCCCATTGGACTGAGAGGGGGTTCAAGGTACGTTCGGTGCGGGAAGGTACAGAGTGACCCACAGCAATCAGGAGCCATCCCTTGCTTGAAACCCTAGGATGGTTTTACAACGAGACACGAGACACGGCAGAGGCTTGCCAACGGTGTTTCCAATATTTTCCAATGAGAGAGGTTCCAGGAGATCCGAGGCAGAGGCCCCCACACAACGAGCAGGGGGATGCTGCGTGCCCCGCTGCTCGGCGGCAGATCGTGGGAAGCCGGGCTGCTGTTAGTACTCGTAGAGTCGCTCTGAGCGGGAGCCAAATTCAAAAAAGTCGCACCCAGGCCATGGAACACTTGGTCGGCGAACTAGAGATGAAAGTTAAGACGCGGCCAGAAATTGGGACGTGTTCGAAATCACGTTTGGCTGCATCTTAGTTTCGCCGTTGAGCGCCACTTGTTCAGCAGACTTCAAAAGGATGAAGACTTCAAAAGGATGACTCGCTGCATAAAGAACATGCTATCTTGGCACGAGATGCCGTTTTATATCTGTTTTTGATATCGCTGCGGACACGGATTGTTACCGCCAAATTTCGAAACAACGACATGTAGGGATGAGCGATGTTGCACATGCTCGACCAAGCCCGGGCCGAACAAATGATCAGACCTAGTATTGAGAGCACGTGTTGCTGCGAAATCTTTTATGGTCGCTTGAAAGGACAGATGGTCGGCGAGGATCGGTTGACAGAGAAGAAAAGTTGGAAAGACAACAGAAGCTTCGGAACGAAGATTTTAAGATTTTCCGTGTCGCATCGAAAAAGACAAAACCGAAGAACAGCCATTTTGCTTGCTTGCTTGCGACAAAATTCAAGTCTTGCTCCTTTGCACAGGTGTGCACCGAGAGTATCAACCCCTGAATGAATGAAGGAAGGAAGGAACGAATGCAAAGTGCTTTGGCCCAGCATCTGTCAGTATTCGCAATCGGTCCGCGCCATGCCGTGGAGCAGGTGTGGTTGCGTCGTTGTCCTCGTGCTGGTTTGGGAAATCGCTGCCAGCTGTTTGGGCGAAGATTGCGCGAAAGAAGAGACAGAGCTGGTGCAAGTTTCCAGGCACGCCCATCCGTTCCGTTTACATTAGGAAAATACACGTGCGAGAGGAAGACACCTGGTCAGGTGTCATGGCAGGTGATCAGTTGCATTGTGCGATGTTTGCGTCCCTTTCCTCGTTGTTGTCACCTTGATGTGACTTGGCAGGCCTTGGAAGCGTTCTGGATGGTGGGCACGTGGCAAGGGTTATGGCTATGGGAGCAAGGACGGTCAGCAACGATTGTGGATGGTTGAGATTGGGTTGCGCATCTGATTCGGCATTCAAGCTCGAGATCTGCCGAAGCATGGTAGTGGTGTGTTCGCCATTTGCAAAACGAATGAAGATAGTTTGTAAACGGACACAGCTGCCAGGACAACGATGATGGCGACGACGGCGACGACCCCTCCCCTTCCGATCCTTCTGACGGTGTTGCCTGCACGTACAGCAGGACTTATAGGTACCCTGCGGACGTACTTCAAGTCGCCACTCCGGATGATACCACAGAGATGATCAGTCGATGTTCAAGTGCAGGAGTTGCTTATGTGAACACCTCAGAAGACGCCACATGCATCATCAACTCCAATGGAGACGGGTATGACTACGGCAATGTTGCAGACACCAGTGCATGCCCTTACCCGGCTGGGGCCACGCCATGGATGTCGAATGCCGAGTGCCTCAGCAATTACACGAAATGGATCGCCAAGGGAGCCACAGAAGTCACGTTGGCAGACGGTACCACTGCCATGACCGGCATTGGCCATGGAGTCTTAGATGGGGTTCGTGGCTTGTGTGCAATCATCTACTACGAAGTGACCGGCAAAACAGTGGTGATATTCCAAGTGGACATCCGCTCCTGGTCATTGGAAATGACGTTAGCCACATGGCAGTACTTGACAGAGATCACAGATGCAGGCAACACATGTATTATACCCACGGTAACATCCATCAACTGCACGGATGTGCCTTTCATGACAGAATAGTAGATGTTCTAGTCGAGAAGGGCATGGCTTTTGAAGGGCAAATGTCTCTTTGTGCCGGTGTGTGCACACCTGTTTGTACACTATTCCGGCTATGAGCGGGGATAAGAAGCGGTTGACAACAGGTTCACCGTTTCAATTCTGACAAGCAGCTGTGTTTTAGGCTTGCTGGAAGAGGGCTTGTGCATGCGCAGGTCCGACGATGGTATGTTGCGGCTCCAAAACAGACTTATGAAAGGCTATGATTCGAATGCCCGACATGGTGGCTTGCTTCTTACATATACTTACATTGACTTACATTGCTGGTTGCAGTGCCAGGCTGCACGAATCCGCACTGTACGTGGCAGGTCAGGGCCAGTGTGAGTTTCGAACGCAATTAACTTTGCTGTATGGCTGCTCTCATCGCTTTTGTAGCGCGGAAGCTGGTTGCGTCACTGTAGCATGTCAGATCTTCATGCTTGGCTTATCGGAGAGAACTTATGTCGCATTCACAGCCATCTCCGCAGGTTGCATGAGGCCATAAGGCGTCTAGAACACGGCAGAAGAAGGAAACTTGTCATGTCTTCTTTCTCTACAGCAATATGGGTTGCCGGAGTCCTGTGGCCATGTGCGGCGCTCGCGTTCTGGCACTTCGGTTCATATCGACCTTGGCGTACCCGCAATTCTGGCAGTTTAAATCGGCTGATTTCATGAGAAAGCTCCAGCCAGGTGACCCGTTCGAAGTCATGAGCATAGCATCTTGCAGGCATCTGGCCAGACGTTGTGACGACCCAGGTTGCACGAAGGGGGATGCATAGTGCATCACCAGCCTCATAGGTTGAAGAAGCATACCTTTAAGAATTCACCACCAGATGCCGCAGAACGTGTAGAGCGTTCGTAGAACCAAGGATCGATTCCAGAACAAGTCGTTCCGAACGAACTGCAGGCTTTCAACAAGCATTCCACCTACTGGAAATCTAGGCTGAGATTGGCGCCGGCAGATTTTTCCTGTCTGTTTCTAGTGCGTGTCTGACAGTATGCGCAAGAGAAACCAGTCAAAACAGCCTTCGCACAAGTCCCATGCGGGCTGAGCAGAAACGAATATCTGCTCAATGCTCTATTCGACCGTGACTCTTGAACTGTTGAAAAAGCACTTCAGGATTTGAAGTCAACACGCTGTACTCGGTTTCTGTCGAGACGAAGGAGCCCGGCGGAGTCGGCCACGTCATCATTTCAAGTGCAGGCGCCTTCCAGGAAGAACCATCCAGGCCTTCGGCAGCATGCACGATGTACTCAGAAAAGCATTCACTGAGGAGTTGGCAGTGGATGAGCCCGACTACCGCAAACAGCAGCAGCTTCTTTGCTGTTTGCGTTACTGGGTACGGTGGCCGTGCGTACGTGGCTGATGCCTTGACAGTGTTCAGGGATGGCCAGCCACAAGAGATCTGCAACCCAAGTAACAGCACTGCGGTCATAGCAAGTTGTCATTGTTTGGCTGTAGACGGTGACCCTGGAACCTCCATCTGTGCAGCTGGAGAGTGTTGTTGGGAAGACCTCCGCTGCCGACAGTGCTCCGGCGGGTCGAGACCGACGCCCATGCTTGAGAGTTGGGCCCTTCTTCACTGTTTGTTGGCATGCTTCGGAGTTGCTCTTCAACTGATTGTGCTTGTAACGGAAGCAACTTACCAGCGGCAGCAGTTAATGCTGGCGAGCTGCATTTTTCAGTGTGTTGGAGCAGGATTCAGCTTTGGACCTTTGGTAAACAGCAGTGCCCACGCTGGAAGCCTTGGTGAAGGGCATGTGATTGTAGGCTCAGTTGCAATAGGCTGGAGCATATTTCTTATCGTATGGAGCTGGGTTCGGGACGATGCACAAAGTGTGTTTGCTTTGCTGCAATCGGGTGCAATTCTGATACTGGGCTGGCTTGCAGCGGGTCTTGGCTGCGTTGCAAACGCAGAAATACAGTGGAGCAATGCGCTAGTGTTGGTCATCTTTCTTCTCAGTTGCGTGTACGCCGTGACGGCATGGAATCGCAAGCGAAAACGTTTTGGCCAGCTGGGTGAAGAACGTGGGCAGCAGATTGAAATTCCACAGTCACACTCAGACACTTCGTGTCGTGCCGCAGTGGAGCAGGTTAGTGTTGCCGATGCTTCGACCATGTCCCTCCGTCCTCGGGGTGCTTGATCAGCATGGCCTAGCAGCAGTTGCCACATATTGCTCGAAGTCCAGTGGATGAAGCGATGGAGCAAAACAACACCTGATGCTGCTCACATGCTCGCACGCCCAGGTCACAGGTGTTGCGAGGATACAATCGCTCGACTCAGCATCGGCTCCAAGTTTAGGAGGCTCCGTGTAGTGTCAGTGAGTGTGGAAAGCTGGGGATAGTGGCACCAGCTTCAAAAGTTGGTTGCTGCTGATTTGCCATTGCACAACACATGAATGACTCTCTTTCCATGCCCCACTGCCGGGACCCGGAAGCAATTCGCCCTTCTGGCGAGGTGGGAGAGTACAGGGCTGCAGAAGTGTCTGGCAGCCTGCCTTTCACGCCACAAGTGCTGGCTGCCAGACTGTCTGGCAGGCTCCGCCGTCATGGACATTCCTTTTTCACGTGCTCGTGGGCACTTGGGGCGCTTTCAGCCTTTCAGCCGTGGCACGGGCTCGTGCCCCCGAGTTCCTGCACACTAGCTGCACGTCGAGGTTTCAAGGTTTGGTGAAGAGCTCCTGTTGTGCTTGAATTGCCAAGGTCTGGAATGGATGACGAGGTGTTCGTGGGGACATGTTTCTGCAGTGGGTTGGCTGATTCCTGCAGGTCATGGTGATGCGGGTTAGAGAAGCCAAGGCCGGACCGGGCTTCGCAATGCGGCATAGTATTCAACAAGCTTCTGTAGTATGCAGCTTTGTACGTGTCCGTTGAGTCAGTCTGTCAGGATTTGGGGTTGGTGCCAGTGGTATGGATGGCTAGCTGGCCTGCAGATGCCACGGTCAGTTCGGTTCCCGGCAGTGATCCACCTCGTCATTCCGACAATGCACAGAAGGCTTCAGTAGATGTGAAAGGTGGTGGGTGCTCGTCCCCGCAGTGCTATTGCCCACTTAGCAGCCCCCATACAGGGCTTCTCTGCCGATGTGCCATGATTGAAAGACTCCCGGGACCGGTTCCCTCGCCGAATGGAAGCCATTGAAGAGGCCAGTCATTTTTGTCAGAAAGGTGTGTCACCAGGCCTTCAGAGTGCTCGAAGCAGTTATGTACCCTTTGGTGTTTGCAGGCCCGGCTTTTTGCACAAGGGAAAGTCCATGATCGTATTGGGAGCATCCGTGCAAGAACCCGAAGGCGAAGAAGCTAATCAGACCGCTTTCCAGCAAGTGGTGCAAGAGCAATTTGCTAGACTTCGCTGTACAGGTTAAGGCAGCTGGAGGAGGAGGGGGAGCACCCTCCAGTCCTTCTGAAGGAATTTGATAAGGTGGATGCCAATGCTTGCTGGCCTTCAGTCTTGCCCTTGAATTGGAATCTAGGCTTGCAGCACCGGACGGACGTCCGGCAATCCTGCAGGTGAATGAGTCCAAAGTCAATCAACGACGAGCATCAAGCCCGGCAATGATGCAGGACTGCAGTCGATTGAAATTGGACACCACGCAGCTGCACTGCTCGCACGATGGCAAGAGACTTCGGCAGGGTCATTGCGCCGAAGAGTGCCGGGCTGACGCCTCCCCGTGCTGTGAGACAGTCCAGCCCGAGTACACCAGAGATCGCGCCCTGGCTTTGTTTAAGATCTCGAGTTGTGTGTCGTATGTTGCAGAGTTGAGGAAGCGCAGCTGGAAAGTGCCGGCCTCGACCACGGAAATTGTCAGAACCCGTAGCTTGGCTCCAGATGGGCTTGTGGTCCAGAATGTGCTCTGGGATAGAAATTGATGGACATTTCGAGGTGTTGGCGTTTTCCTTCAAGACGCCTCGGGCACCAAAGCCGCTGTTGGAACGAGATGGCTCTGTCAGCACCACCTTCCACTTGAGTCTGCCGCCTCCAAGTGCGACGAGGCCGCAGCTGAACTTCAGGCACGTTCTGGGACCACAGTTCAAAACAGGTGAAGCTCTTCGAGCGTGCAGAAACGGTGAATGCACCCAAACCTGGCATTCCGTGAGGCTTGAACAGCGTGCTGCTTGGAAGCCATCGTGGATCTCTGAGCGCACTCAGCGAGGGTTTTTTTTTTTTGGAAGCCTCGAACTGTCCGGGTGCTGAGACCTCCTCCAGCTCGTCGGCTGTCGAGAGACTCTTCTGTGAGCTCTTCGAGAGGCCCCCGGCACGAAGTCCTGTCAGTGACTTCTGGTGACCTTCGGGTCTCCTCTCTGTGGAGCTCGTTGCTCAGGCTTTGGCCCAAGGCAACATAAAAAGGTTTGCAAAACTGGTCGAGCTCCAAAGGCATCACGACGGTCGACATGTGGCGAAGCCTCACGGCTTCCTCTCCGCCGCAAGCCGCAACATGTAATCCTAGGTTGACTCTGGTTGAGTTTTCGCCGGAACCCACAACGGATTTCATTTTACGGTGGTGTGTTTCAGTTTGTCCACAAAATTCTCCTATATGCACTGTCCACTGCATTTCGTCGGTTATGCCAGCATGTCTGAGCTGTGCTTGATTGCTTGCTACATGTTTTGAGGTTTTTTGCCCGGATCAAGCGGTTTCTTGCTTTCTTCATGTCAGGGTGTTTGATTGATCGTACATGTATGCATAGGGACACACAAGCACGTCGCACATCTATTCTGCAATTTACTTTAAGCCTTACAATGAAGCAGTCGGTCGAAATCCATCCATCATTCAATTTTCTCCTTGCCAGCCTTTAGACATGGTTTTGCCGACATAACATGAACAACCCGTAGGACGTCTTATGCAGTTCGTCCTTTAATTCGTGCGTGAAACTCCAGTTGAGTGGATGCTACTTGTATCCTGATTCGGACTTGGCAGCACTCCACAGGACAGTCAAGTGCATCAGCACCGAAGCCTGCGTTTACAGGTTTTCGGTATGCTTGCTGTTGGGCCACATCGCAACTTGCAGAGCCGAGAGGAGTCAGAAGAAAGGGCACCTTTGGGAAGAGCTCGAGAGTAGGGTTCGAATCTTGAACAAGACAACGCCACATGACTGGATGATTCTAACCCCCTTCTGCTCCCGCAGAACTGCTCGCATTGAAGTCTGAGAGAGAAAACCCAGAGTGTTCGAGGACGATGGGTGGACAGGCAGCTCCAACAGAGTAGCTTTTGGGCTGTGGGAACCCCTTCGTTTGGCAGGCTCTGCGACGAAAATGTGCGCACCCGTCGCCGGCTCAGAGTTCACGAATCTGGGTTTTGTGGCGATGCCGAAGCACGATCTGGGATTGTAGCTACTGCAACTAAACTGAGAGCCATGTGCCCCAAGGTGAGACAAGGGAGCCGAAGGGACACCTGGGGCGAGACAGGCTTCGCAGGTCTTCTGGGCAGCGAATCAGCGGAGTATCTGGACCGTTGAATTGGCTGGGGTTTGCGGTTGTGAGCTAATGGACAGCAGAAAATTCGCCATCAAGAGAGACTTCACTGTGCCCACAAATGCAGTTGTGCATACCATCTGAAGCACCTGGCTTCAGATGCCATGTGCTCGTGCATTTGTGGACAACGGATTTTATTTTACGGTGGCATGTTTCAGCTTGTTAACGAAATTCTCCTATATTCACGGTGAACTTCATGTCGTCGACTATGTCAACACGACTAAGCTGTGTCTGATTGCTTCTCCATGTATTAAAGTTTTTTTGGTCCCGATCAAACGGTTCTAGCTTTCTTCATGTCAGGATGCGGATGCCAACTAGGCCAAGTAGTGGCCCTCACAGTAGAGCAGTAGAGCGTCAGGAAAGTTGATCCAAGGTTCGGTGGCCTCGAAACGCAGCTGGAGGAGTCGAGACCGGCTACTCGTCAGTGACAGCTTGCCAGCCTTTTGCATCGTTGTTTTCGGCGTAGTTCCAGACTTGACTGGGGGCTAGTGAGGACAATCCTGCCGGGATGGCCAATCAATATTGTGCTGCACAGATGCTGGAAGGTGCGAAGCATCAGGACTGCCTTCGCTTTTGTAGCTGTTTGTGACCTGCGTGCTCTGCAGTCGCCTGTAAAGTCAAAACTCGGTGTATATCCATGTGTAGACGAATCCTATGCGATCTTCCGTTGCACGTAATCCAGGACTCCGATCGAGACGGGCATGAGCGTCATGCTGCCAAGGCACAGCCTTGCAGGTTGCAGTGGAGGCCTTGTCACGTCTTCCCATGATCCGTGCCGGAGGATGAATGGCAATTGGACAGCGATACCAGGGAGGCGGGATCTGCGCGGGCATCGGAACAAATGAGAAGGACACAGCATCTGAGGATGTTCGCCGGTTGTCTTCAGCGGAGCATGCCAAGTGGAGGTGTGGCTGACTGTCATGTTACTGCTTGCCAGCTCGTTTTGGGATAGACGAGCAGGGCACAGATGCAAAGACTGCAGCCGCACTTCCGGAAGGTCCAGCTTCAACCGCTACCGACATGATGGAGAAATCCATTTGGACGACTTGTCAAGGGCTTTGGCGCACTGTGGATCCTTTCCATACATTTAGACGAGACCGTCTTTAGCATGGTGTTTTGCCAATAGAACTATCCAAACTTGTGAATGGAGAGCCGCTGGCATAAGGATTTCGTGATCGGCGGCCTGCACTAATTGAAGAAGCGTGCAGGCAAGTAACGCGCTTTGCAACGTTAGACCGCTGCTTGGGCAGAATGATCAGCTATGTTTATCTGCTGTTGAAAAGCTCTCGCAGTCTTTCGCCGAGCCAGTAGTTCTTGAGACTGGCGGTCGTTGCTCCACAAGTCCTTGTGACTAAACGGCGCCAGAATTGCGTGTTTATCTCACAATCGCCCAGGAGACGAATTCACGAGCTTCGTGTGCCTGTACGAGTCTGAGCTGTTAAACCTCTACCGAGCTGAGTTCACCAAATATGAGGATGCAGGTATCTTGGCAGAATTCCGGCGCCTGGAGGCATCCGCTTGTACAGCTCCCATCCAACTCGCAAGTGATCAGGACACATTGCAGTAGACAGCTTTGCGCCGTTGTTGAAAGAGCTTGGGCTGGAACCACGCCACCCGGCCAAAAGCACTGCACGTGGGTGCATGTCTCGGATTGTACGACTCCCAGTGCTTGCTGTGGCTGCAGGTCAGATCGTCCTGGATGAGCTTGTGGCGGAAGTCTGTGGCTGCGGGTGGGCCACACTTGTGTTGCTTTCCACTGAAAAACCCTCGCTGCGCTGAGGCAGCAGCTTTTAAGCTTTCCTGATGTCGCGAACATGATGGAGCTGCTTCGAGAGCGCGAAGGCCGGCCAAAGAGGCAACAAAGCCTCAAAGCCCTTTGGGGACCGCAGGTCAAGCATCCCTCGTTGCAAGCCTTGCAAGCTTTATGCTTCTGCTGGGCATTGTGCTGGAGGCTTTCGGCTGACGGAGCTGGAGAGATTTCGCAAGGTCTTTCACGACTTTGACAGCGATGACTCTGGAGACATGTCCGCAAGCGAACTTGTCAGCGCGCAGCTTAGCCGCATCTTGAGCTTGGTAAGCTTTCTTAGACGCTGGGACAGTGTCAGAGTTGAACCGAGGTGCATGTTCTGCATGACGGTCTAAGGATGGGCTGGTTGGGGTTTCCGACTTGCAATGAGCTTGTTCGCGACTTTTATCAGACGAGCGACCTCAACGGCAGCTCGGTGGCAATCTACCGAAATTTGGGGGGGAGCGGTTTGGAGTTCGTGAGACCACTGGAGACTGTGTGGCTTGTGCAGAGATATCACCTTCTTCAGGAGTCGCCCCCCCCATACTGTTTGCCTGTACCATGCACAGAAGCATGGCTATGTCATCTTCAGTCCACCTATTGGCTGCAGGCAATGGTGTTTTGAGCTTTTCCGAGTTTGTGATTTTCTTGAGCCACATCCAGGCAGGACTCCTCATGCAGACATGAGCGAATGCGCTCACAAGCAGGGACGGTGGGCCAAAAGTGTCCTGTCCCGCATGCAGGACCGAGAGCTGGTCTCAATCCGTGATTTCCTCGCCCAGAAGTCGAAGGATGGCAAAATCTCCACGTTGTTGGAGCTGGAGGCCTTCATGCGAGCTGGAGGATTGCGTCTGTTCTGTGGGCCACTCCACGTGTCTCTGAGCTTACGAGCTTGAGCGGTTGCAGCCTGCAGGCGGTGCTGCGTTGTCTGGGGTACTTCACCTCTACTGCTGCGATTACCGAGCCCAGATTCAAACGGCCTCGGTGATGTTGGTGCATGTTCGAGGTGTGCCCTCCGTGATCGCGATTTCCCCTTTGTGCGCTGGAGGATGCTCTGCAAGAAGCAGGCTTTTGCACCAAAGCAGAGGTTGCTGTTCTCCGCCTGGCCGCTGGGCTGAGATAGAGTTTTGACATGTTGATCTCCACGAAGTAGCGGCGGGATGCAACTTGCACATAAGTTTGTGAGTTTGTCACAGCCCCACTTGCACCACCTACAGTGAGTTTCGGAACTGTCCTGCCCTGAGATCTTGCATGAGCCTTGGTGTAGAGAAAGTGCTGCGAGGATTGGCAAGGCATGCGACTCGACGTCGATGACATCTGCGCTCTGCTGCAATGCCTGCGAAGTAGGGAAGGCAGCGAAACGGCGCGAGTGAGGGCCAGAAAATGCTTCTCTGACTCCCTTTGAGGTTTCACAGATGCGCAGATGGATGACCTGCGGCAGGCCTTCTGGCAAAGTGAGCCGAAGGATGAAGACAGGCTGCTCGACCTGCTAGAAGTAGCTAAGTCACCTGAGTGCAGTCACTCCTACTATCCGAGCCTTGTATCGCCGGAATTGTTGTCGCATGCACATGGTCCCACCTCAGGATTTCCACGAGTGGTGGGTTACACAAGGCAGGATGGCCCCAAGGGTTCCGAGATGTCGTTTCTCCTCTTGGTGTGCTAAAAGAACTTGCTGATGTTGAGGGGCAAGTTCCAGCCGACCTCGCTGGCGAGAGCTTGTCATGAGGTTTGTGATGGGTCACCCGCCCGGCTCATGCACCCGCGTTGCCAGCCGTTGTAGAGCGGGCTCGCCTACTGTTGCAATCCATGTGGTTTGGGGTTCATGCGACTCCGCGTCAGGAGTCCGGACGCGTGCCTCTTCTGTCAAGGCGTGCTCAAGGTGAAGGGCATCAGACGTTACATAACCAACAAGTCTAGCTTGTGGTGCCTATACCGCTGCGCTGGGGTCTCTCTTGGATGGACGAAATGCTACCTGGCAAAGCCGCGGACTGACCAGATGTGTGACACCTGCCAGGGTCCAATACAGGGACGCTTCGAAGGCCTCTCCGGCGACTCTCAGAGCACCCAGCCGCGCAGGGCAAGGCTTCCCATTCGGCTTGGCTCTTGACCTCGGAGCTTCCGCAGTTCCAATTCCCGGAAGAAAATCTACTTTGTCCGTTGGAGTGCCTTCAGTGCGAGAGAGTTCCAAGTCCGCCGAAGGCGAAGGCCAGCCCGAAAGTCAGGCCTATTTGAAAGCCCCTGGGCAGTACTGGGCCAGTGAGCTCTATGCCAGGTCCTTTCTTGTGCCGGTGCCTCCAAGTTTCAACATCACAACTCCCTTCTGCCCTCAATACCCTGAGAGTTCCTACGGGCCCACAGGCAGGCAAGACCACTACCATGCACAAACGGGGCACGGTCGGTGTGCCTGAGCTGGCTGGTTGCTGGGGTTTTGGTTGAAAGTTTCTGAGTGACTTGTCAAGTCTCCTTGAAGCCACCCTACCTCAAGGTCCGGAAGGCAGACGAGGGGCAAAGCCACTGAATCCAAAACCGGTGCCGACGACGCCGCCAAAGCTACTAGGGAAATCCGGACGAGAGCCTCCGGCCCTGGGCCAACGGGTGGCAACGGCCGGACCTTTAACTGCAAACGGAGCCCCAGGTTCCTCCAAGCCCACACCCCGGCCGACTTCTCTTTGGTCGCTGTCATGCTAAGCTGGGCCCGCCCGTTGTCGTTGATCTCTGACCTGCGTCGCATACAGGGTCATCATGGACTTTCCAATGTCGACCATTCCGTGGCATTTTATTCCAAGGATGCCGAACCCCTCAGCCCTCAAATTTGCCGCAGTCTGTATTGATCCTCACGGCTCACCACTGAGCTGACAGATTCGATGCACGGACCTGCCGTGAAGATGTCCCTAATTTAGGCTTAGTGGCTAATCATACTTTCCAAGTCCAGCTCGGCGTGAGAGTTCTTCTCACGATCTTGCACATGCGACGCCGTGAGCACGGGCAAAGGGTCGCAAGGACGTTCTCTGCTTAGCCCTTTTTAATACAGAAGGGCCTGTCATGGGGCCTGGGTTTTTGCACACCACACTTTCGCATACTTTTCAGTACTTGTTCTGTATTTGTCGTTCAGTGCTGCTTTGCATGCTTCGGAAGGCCCTCCTTGCAAAGTTACACTTGCAAAACCCCTAAACCCTACACCTGAAACCCGAAACAATCCTTAACAAAACCAAAAAACCAAAAGAAACGAAAATACCGAAAAACACAGAAAAAAAGCAAAAACGCCAAACAAACAAACAAAAAGCCAGAAAAAAAAAAACAAAAATAAAACAATGATATCCGCACTAGTCTGAAGGATTCCGACTAGTGTGAAAATCATTGGTTCTTTTTTGGTTTGTTTGTTTTTTTTGGTTTGTCTGTTTATTTTGGTGATTTTGGTGTCTGGCTGCTTATAAGCA